GTCTTTGCCGGCTCGTAGACTCCTTCCGCTTTTGGGCTCTCAATTACTTTCAATTTCAGATGCTTCTCTTTCTCCGTCCTCTTCCCCGCCATGTTTTTCTCTTTGTTTACTTTTGCAAGCTTTTTGAAAGTCTCTGAATATGCTCCTTAACACTCGCACTTGCCTTGCTAAGTACTCCTTAGCAGTTTTAACCTTTTATGCTTCCGCTCCCCCCCTCAATCGCTCTAAAGTCTATGCGTTTGGGAGGCATCCCTCCCCCGCTCGCCTTATCTTCTGTTCCGTGGGGTGGGGAGCTTATTTTCTTTTAAATCAATGCTTAACGACTCATGTTCATTACCGGTCCACAGACCTCGTTTACACTCCATTTCATGCTCGATCTCCTGCGCTTGCCCCGGTCAGCGTCACTTAGTCCATTCGGTTTGTCAGCACGAAGAACCATCAGAGTGGAGAGGTGCCTCAATTCTCCGCCATTACGCCGTCGAAGAGGCAACCTCTCAAAAGCTCCATGGCCAGGGTCCCTTCAGCCGGGTCCCTGGGGGAGTAGTGAGCCTGCACCCCCCCTCCTTCGGCTGGAGTGCAGCTTCACCCCTGGGAGGTCCAGGAGGTGAGTCTGCTAGTGTGCCGCCATCAACCGGAAGTCCCAAAATGAACTTTTTAATGTCTGTTCTTAAAAGCAGTCCTCACGGCAATCAGTAATTTTTAGAATTAAAAGAAATGTACAACAGTTGCCTATGGGTGACAACAGTGAAATTGGTGTATGCTTTCTAAACAATGGGTTGGATCTAGACTAAAATATCCAGTGGCAAGATGGAACTTTCTTGTCTCCCTCTTCTCACTGCAGCCCACTGATTGCCATAAAATGCTGCTCCTGGTGAATAGGGAACCCTGATGAATTACATGTTTTTTGGGGGGGGTCTGCAGTGGAAAGGGGGGAATTGGTGGAACTTGTCTGTTTTTTCTGGATCCAGCTCAGAAGATGCCACAAGATTCCTGTTTAATTTTGCTGTGGTAAACTTAACAAAAATATTTATACCAGCTCAAGTTTTAAGGACCAAAACCAACTTCATCTAGGTAGGTTCTGGTCCACAAAAGTATATGCTGGAATAAAGTTTTGCTAATTTTTAAGGCACCCCAAAATTCTTCCTCCTTTTTACATCTAATTAATGATCACAGAATCACAGAGTTGGAAGGGACCTCCAGGGTCATCTTTTCCAACCCCCTGCACAATGCAGGAAATTCACAAGTTCCTCTACCCCACCTCCCTGTGACCCCCTGCTCTATGCCCAGAAGAGGGCAAAAAAAACCAAAACAACCCCTCCAGGATCCCTGGCCAAACTGGGCTGGAGAACAATTGCTTCCTGACCCCAAAGTGGTGATCAGCATTTTCCTGAGCATGTAAGAAAGGGCCATGAGAACTAAGCACTGGTGCAACCCTTCCCGCCCTCCTTCTCATGATCTGCCTAAGTTCACAGAATCTGCATTGCTGTCAGATGGCCATCTAGCCTCTGTTTGAAAACCTCCACAGAAGGAGAGCCCACCACCTCCATAGGAAGCCTGTTCCACTGAGGGACCGCTTTCACTCAGGAAGTACTTTCTCATGTTTAGCCAAAAACTCTTTTGATTTAATTTCAACCTGTTGGTTCAGTGCAACCTTCTGGGACAACAGAAAACAACTCCACACCATCCTGTATATGACAACCCTTCAAATACTTGAAGATGGTTATCATATCACCTCTCAGTTGTCTCCTCTCTTTCAAACTGTTTTCACCTTTCTGGTGGTGTAACTACTGGGGTCCAGCCTTTCTCCTTGCTCCAGGAGTATGGACAGAGATAGAACAAAGAGACAAGAGACAAGCTACGTGCTGTAACATTTTTCCCTTTCTCTGTGTGAACCCTTTATATGTAACCTCTATAAAGGCACCACTCTGTAGTGTCCTGAGGTGACCGTGTGTGCCTCCTTGCCTCCATAATTTTCACTGCCACCAAAGGCTCTCTTGCCTTTGACTTCTTAGTTGGACACAGAGAATAGGGTGGCTTAGTTGTATGTAGTAAATTAACAGAAGGGTCAGCATGTGGGGGTGGCTCTGAGGTAAAAGGGGATCGTCTAAAATAGACAAGATGGGTAGCTGTGTTAGTCTGTCTGCAGCAGTAGAAAAGAGCGAGAGTTCAGCAGCACCATAGAGAATAACAAAATATGTGTCAGGGTATGAGCTTCTGTGAGTTACTGCTCAGTTCTTCAGAAACAGTTGTTTTTCTTAAATATGAATAGATTTTATAAGTAAAACAGTGTAATGGTTTCTATATGGCTAATAAGCATAATAGTTTCAGATAGGTATATAAGCATAATGGTTCCTTAAATAGACCTAGCCATATGAGCTTATTTCCTCACTTGCCACTTAATTTCCCAATTTAGCCACCCAGGCTAATAACTTCCACTCAGACCACAGATTTCTCTCACAGTCTACAACACCTGAGGTTCCTTCTTCTACACACACTGCTCAGCACTAACTCTCATACAAAGGGTGCTTTCACACATGCTGAATGATGCCGAGTGATTCAATCCATTTTCAGTGCACTTTGCAAGTGGATTTTACTGTGCAAAATGGTAAAGTCTGCTTGCAAATTATCACTAAAGTGCATTGAAAGTGGATTGAGAGTGCATTATTCAGCATGTGACAGCCCCCAAAGCCTCCCTCTGAACCACTCAGTCAGCTCCGCCCCCTAGAATACAGCTACCATCCCAACATAACACACTTCACTCACCTATCCAGCCCCTCCTCTTTCTTACTCTACATGTCTTTATTTTAGAACACAGCATCATATATTTAAAAGTCCACACTGAAACACAGAAATAAAATATGCACACATGACCGCTTTCCCACTAGCCGCTGCTCCGTCCTCGATCTTCCTTTCCCCACGATTCTACATGTCAATTTCCTACTACTTGCTGTGCAGGCGCATTTTGCCCCGCAGCTTCACCCGATTTCCCCCGCAAAGCTGCGGGGCAAAATGTGCCTGCACAGCAAGTAATGGGAAATTGACATGTAGAATCGGGGGAAAGGAAGAGCAAGGACGGAGCAGCAGCTAGTGGAAAATCGGTCAGTATTTACATGGCAAAACACCACACAAGTTTTATAGATGATTTAGATTCTAGAGCCCAGTTATCCCACTGGCTTATTTCCAGCAGGAAACTGGAGGGGAGGGACTAATTCCATACCCTAGGGTCAACTGTATTTTATATGGTCCAATCTAGAGGTACTGTGGATCATTCACAGTTGTTCTTGCTAGCTGGCCAAGCCTATTATGTTCAGCTGGAGCAGAATGTTCTGGATGGCCCATCTACACGTCCCCTAAACCTACAACAGCATTGCAGGGTTTTATGACACAGTTCCATTGTAGACACCAAGGAAAGGGATTTCAGGAAGAGAGATGAGCCCCTTCCTCACAGGTACTACTTCATACATTTGACATTTCCACCCAGTCTCAAACAGGTTGCAAGACTGTCAATGATACGTTACCATACCTTTCTAACACCAGTGAAATCTTGAGTGTAGTTGTTGTTGTTTTTTTTTGGGGGGGAATGCTAAATATGTATGGTTCCAAACAGATCAAAATGCTATTTGTTCCTGTAATCTGATAGAAAGCAAGACATTGCGTGGGTATCGCCACCTACATGAGTAAGCCCAACACAGGTTCTGAATACTGATATCTTTTGATCATCTGTCTAATAGCAGGTTTTTTTCCAAAGTCTCAAATAATGATTCCATTTTAACTCTCCCGAGATATTGAAAGCCGAAAGGTTCTACTTTTCAGGTTTTACTGTGGGCAGAGTGTGACGAGCTGGCCCTGAACAGAGGGCTATCATGCACAGCATTTTCAGCCATCTGTTATGAACTCTGTGGACTTGTGCTGGTGCCTAGATGTTTAAGGAAGGAAGGGGAATGACCCTCTAGCCATGACATTTGCAGTGGGCATGGAAAAGAGCAGGAATTATCTGCTTGTCATGTGTGTCTTTGAGAGAGCTAGAAACCCCCTACTCCAGTGGAACTATGCCCATAGTTGTTTCAGAGATAAAATGCTAAGCAGATTTGATTACGAACAGACCCGTGTAGGGGGTTTTATTTTGTTTTGGTTTTTTGTCTGTTATCTGAGAGAGCAAGACACTGTGGCACACCAGGCTTAGTGTAACTGTACCTCAAAACACCAACATGCTTGCCAAAATGAAGTGTATCTGCTGCTCTCTACGGCAGAGAGATTTAGTTTTATTTAAATACTCTATAAGGAATAAAGTGCTTACCACTGTTTTGGCCTATTGGGATGAATCTGACATTCTATTGACATATGCTATAGATTTAATTTAATGCTGTGGTTCAGATGTCTCTTTTGATAAATTTCAGTGAAAAGCTACACTAAGAAGGGTTGAGCTCTTTCAATATTTATGGAGTTTAAAAGGCAGGAATAGGAAACGAAATACGGTAATTGAAACAACGTTTGGGTATATCTGTGTTGCAAAGAGTTCTGAAGGCAACTAGTTATTAGTAGGGATGATATTGAATTTCTCATCCATAGTGTTTTGACTCAGAAATACCCATTTTGATATAACTTCTCCCTTGTACAAATCCAACCCATGAGCGTGCATTTTTGTGCTTTTTCTGTTTCTTTGAATCTGTTTTTACCATAACCATTCAATTTGCACATTTTTAATGTCCTTTTTGTGTCAAGGGCACATGGCATAAATATATAAACAGCACAAAGTAGTGTAAAAGAAGCAAATGCATGAAGAATATCAGTAATAAGAAAGCGAAAGGACTCACAACAACATACAGAATGGGAAAGGTCATGTATGTACAGCCCCATTTAGTTGCTGTGAATATTTGGAATAATGTTTGGAATACGGCTTGGAAAGATCCATTCGAATTCTTGTTCAGAAAATCTTATTTCTTCTTTAACAATGATAAATTGATATATCTGAGTCATTCTCATTTTCCTTTTATTGTTAGGTATAATGGCAATTCGATCTGTAGAAACTGGAGTTGTGGCAGTTAAATCCATTAACAGCAACTATTACTTAGCCATGAACAAGAATGGAAAAGTCTATGGTTCTGTAAGTACATTTCTTCTGCTTGATCTTAGCTCATGCTTAAATTGCTCCATTGAACACAGTAGGAATTCTGAAAAATGTGTCTAGCAGATTGGGTTCTAAAAGGCTTTCCTTACTGTAATTCTGGGTATAGATGCACAAGCACAATTTAGTGGGATGTGGACAAGTCTGAAATTCTCAAGTTATATGAGCTGCCTCCCTCCTTCCCCATCTTTTATTTATTTATTAAGATATTTATATCCTAACTTTTCTTGTTGTTTCAGGTAGATTACAAATTATAATGAAAAAGTCACAATTTAAAAGCATTCCAATCTAAAACACCCAAATAAATGTGAAGACTGATGACTTCCCAGTTTACTAAGTTTCCAAGTTTCCAGCATTACCACAATTTGTTGAGATGTCCAAATTCAGGTTCTCACCTGGGATTGATTCAGAACAACTGATTTCAGCTGATTTAGAATCCCTGTTTCTCGGTAACAAAGGCTTCCTAAACCAAGAAGCAAAAAGTAGAGCATTTCAGGCTCATTCACATCACAAATTGTGGTTTATTCTTGACATCTACACATTTTCAAAATTGTTCCGCAATCTCTGCTCATCCCTGGAGTTTCCCAATACCACCTTTTTTCTTAATATTACACGCTCCATCATTTTCTCATTGCTTTTCCCTAAGGTTCTTAATTATGTGAAGCAGAATATTTTCCAGTCCTTGGAATTTCCCCAGGAAATTTTTCATGTCTAAAGAGTCATTGTTTTATAAAATTAATAACAACAAATAGATGCCATGGCCAATAACAAATATTAGGCAAGCTCTGCAGTTTCAAAGTTGTCGTTAATGTTTTTCATGTGAGTCTCTCTAGGAATTGTGTGAGATAGTATATTTATGTTTTATTGGTTTCTAAAATCAATAAAGGGGAGGGATAAAACCACAAATATAATAATAATATATATATATTTTAAAAAATCTGGTTATAAATTTGCCTGATTGGTGGTGCAGCCCAAATCAAAATTGAAACCAGAGTTTATATGTCTTCTCTTTTACATGGTGGAAGGGATAGCATAATCACCAATCAGATAGGAACTCTCCAGTAATTCAAGGGATGCTATGGCACAACAATGGAGAAGACAATTAACAGTGCAATCCTAAGCAAAGTTACACCCTTCTAAGTCCATTGAAGTCAATAGGCTTGAAATAGTGTAACTCCATTTAGGGTTGCACTGTAAATTCTGTTGCAAAAGGCGAGTGGGTAGAGAAATCCATGGGCATAATGCGTGCAGTTCTTTGGCTTTGCCAAAATTAGCACATGAGCAGTTTTCAGTGCATTTGGATTTTCCCTCCTTAAATTTACAAACTGTACAGGAAGTATATGCTGTATTGTCTTTACAGTTTTACAAGTATTATTCCAATAAGAATAATCCCCACATAAAACGTTGACATTGAAACTCCATGTGATTTTTTTTCTTTCTTAATCAAATACTTCAGTTCAAATATTGATAAGGATCCATTCCTACCCCTACCTAAGTCGAAGAAAGGCTGCTTAGGCTAGAGGTGGGCTCCTTGGAACATGGTTGGATCCACCCTGTTAAATTCTGTTAAGACACAAAAAATAACATGTGGTAATTTTTAAATTTTGTGTACTAAATATAAGTAAAAGTAAATATGCTAAATCAGATTTCCCTTTATTTATGGCATTGGGAAAGTGTCCAGTTCAGATTTTTTTCTGAGAAAACTTACATCACTGCCTATGCTTTTGTTCAGGAGGAAGTTACACAGAAAATTGTAATTATCTGATCCAGTATTCACTGGAATTCCGTGCTAGTCCCTTCTGTTTTATCTCATGCTGAGCAATAATCATATTGCCTTTTTAATGCAATGAGCAATGGCTAGGCTTAAACCTGATAGGCTCGTGAACTAATTATATAAAAAAAAGAGTGTTAATTATTTCAGCAAATGTTTGTGTTTTTCTTAGATTAACACTGCAGTCCTAAACAGAGGTACATCCTTCTAAGCCTGTTGACATCACTAGACTTTGAAAGGTATAACTCTGCTTGGGATTGCACTATAAATAACCACAAAATGTTTAAAACTCTGAAGATTCTCATGTGCATTTTCATCTTCCTTTAATCATTTTGCTAAACTTAGCCTGGTTTATTTCTTGGGAATATTTGAATAGCATCACTTGATCTGACAATGTGATGGCACTAATTAGAATTTGAGTTTTTGGTCTCTTCACTCAGTTTGCAAAAGGGGGAAAATGTATTTGAGCCACTCAGATTTGCAAAAAAAGAAAAAGAGAGAAACTAAGGCCACAATCCGTCACAGAGCTGGCTGCAGTTATGTCCACTGATTTCACTGTTTACTGGATCATGATCTACCCTCTTAAAAGTTAGAAATAGCCAGTGAAGGGTTCAGTAGCACATAGTCAAGCAATACTTGTAGGGCATTTATGTGTTTTTATTATTTATGTTGAGGCTTAAACTGACTGCTCATCCACACTTCTTCCCAGTTTTTTTCTTGTTCCAAACCACCTGTTCTAGTTTCCAAAGTAGAACTGATGTTCTAGGAATCCTCAGTTCCCCCATTTTTATATCCAAATTTTGTGCAAAGCTCTGTGCATACACAGCTTGTCAAAGTTTTTAGTCTTTCAGATAATTCCTTCCTTTCCCACCATACTGATGTGTTCCTGTGCAGCAATAAAGCAGTCTTGATAGAATTGTGCATACAGCTGTAACAAGTTTCTTCCGATGTGGTTTTTACCCATGTGTAGGAAGATAAAGTTCCCATGAGTACTACTCTGGACAACAGTAATCTTGATGCAGCCAGATAGACAATCACATCGAGATTTATTTTCTTTGGTGGTTTTTTCCATTGTGCACATTCACATTGTAAAGAAACAAATTAATGTAAAATTGCACCAAACTGCATACACTCCAGATCCAGGTGGGTAGCCGGGTTGGTCTGAAGTGGTAGAACAAAGTTTGAGTCCAGTGGTGCCTTTGACCAACAAGCTTCCGTGTGCAAGCACACTTCTTCAGTTCTTCCTCAACTATTACATATAGAAAGGAGGGGTTAGTTGCCAGGAAGGGCCAATTAGAGTCAAGACAGAAACAAAATTGGAAATTACCAGTCCATACATATAGTCAGAGGGTGAGCAGTAAATTATCATTTAAATGATCATACAGACTATATGAACTAAGCTTATTATTTCTGTTTGGTCCTTGTATCTGTTAAACATCTTTATTACGCTGTATGATAATTTACTACTCCCCCTCTACTTATGTGTATGGACTGGTAATTTCCCATTTTGTTTCTGTCTCTGTCTTGACTCTAATTGGCCCTTCCTGGCAACTAAACCTCCCCCCCCTTTCTGTATGTAATGGTTGAAGAAATTCTGTTTCACTGTATCTGAAGAAGTATGCTTGCACAAGAAAGCTTATGCCTTGAATAAAACTTTATTGATCTTAAAGGGGTCACTGGACTCCTACTTTGTTCTGCATACAGTCTAGTTTTGGAATTGATTTTAGAAATTCTCCTAGTTAAATTGAACTTACAGATGAATGGAGCATAATTAAGATAGAATGAGGAAAGTATGTCCCTAAATGGAAACAGAGGTGGAGTTCAGCTATAATGCAGAACCATGGTTTAATTAAACTAACTGTGGTTACATCATCATCTGAATGCAGGCCACTTCACTAGCGATGGTTAGAGTCTGTCAAACTACAATCTAAAACTACCAAGTGGGGGACCCAACAAGAATTATGAGGGGATTTTTACACATCCCCCAGCTTTGCTCCCTCGGCAGCAGTAATGTCTGCCTCCCCATCCCTCCTGACCCCAGGTTAACTGTGGCTGTGGCTCCCTGCCCCTGAGGAGGTACCACTGTAACAGTGAAGCTGGTGAGCCACGTGGGGCTGGTGTCTAAGGTCACCCTGAGGCCAGTGGCAGAGGCTGGTCCCAGCATGGCTCCTGTCCTCCACCACTGGGCCCAACGCAGCTCCTGGCTTCAGCCACCATCACCACCACAGCTCCCAGGTGTCAACAGAGATGGCAAATGGCATCTGCTCAGACAATGCTGTTGTTTGGGGGATATTTAAACCTTTCAATTTCATTTTTTAAGGTTTTCAGATTTTTTCCCCGCAAACCTGGGGGGTCCCCCAACTTTGCAGAACTGTTTTGTGTCAGTTTAGCCCAGACCTTCAGTTTAAGTATCCACAGATGGGCCCACACTTGACTATTAGAATATAAGAGGTTGAAGTTGGTTAACTAACCGCAGTTAGTTTTCCTCATGGTGTGGCATACAAATCCTAGAATGTTCCTTTGCCAAGGCAATAACACCAGCAAACCAAGATTTGAGTGATCATTTGGAAGCTGAATCCTGGTTTCAGTGATCATCATTAAAATAAACCATTGTTTTGCATTATGTCTGAACTGAGACACAAGCAGTACAAGGTCATTTTCCAGTGGTCCAGGAGTGGGGCAGTACTTGACTCCTTATTCCTGGGAAAGCACCTCCCCCTTCCGTAGGCAGGGCCGGCAAACTTTGATCCCAGAGGGGAGGGGTTTATCCTCTGATCCCCAGTCTTACTGGCCCTGCCTTCTGAGCAGGACATGCTGGCTGTGCTCTGAAGAGCACGAAGATCCCAGAAGACACCAGAAGGTTAGAAGAAGAAGCAGAGACCTAAAGGGCAATGGGAGAAGGTACTTACCTTCCAGCCCTAAAACATATTCGAGAGCTGTAGGCCTCGAATAACAATGGATCCGGCACCGGCAGTCCTGGGAGGCCCCCAGGAGGTCGCGGCACCGAGAGGAACGCCTCGGACCCCACTGGGAAGGCAGTGGTAAACTGCTCTCCCCACCCCCTATCCAGCTGCAGTGGCGTGCAACGATTTTGGGGACAGACGCTCAGTGAACAGCCTGGGGAGAGCAGAGGCAAGAGAGGCGGCCAAGGGTGGTGCAGAATCTCTGTCACCGTCCCTTTTGGCATTGGAATGGAGCCCCCTCCTTG